ACATACTTGTCGCGGATGGCACATTGCGAACTCTAAAGAAAGTGAATACAAACAAGATATAGAAACCATACTACCAAGGACATTCCGAAAGTAACAAAGACCATGGAGTCCACCTCTTTACCAATCACACCATTTAGAAAAACGTTCTTGTATACGCGTTTCAATCTATGTTTCCAATCATCACTTTTACGTTAATATTTAACCCTTTGCACGGAAGGTCACTCGGTCACCACTTGATTCGCGGTAAAACTAAAATCTGATATTTAACGTTGAACTTAAACTTCAAAAAATCTCGTCGTTGCCTCGCAAGGAAATGTAAGATATTTCTAGCGAGAAACTCCCGAGTGCAAAGGGTTACATCTATTTGTTCGTTGACGACCCATTTTGTTTATTCCGCGACCCACTGGTTCGCAGCGACTCGCGGTTTGAAAATCCCTGCTGTAAGCCATGGTCGGGGTCCCCGCTCTTGACCACGGTGTCTTTCTCGGTAGTTGGACGGTCTCAAGGGACGCGAGTTGGGCCGTTTCAGGGTTAGGACGCAGTAACGTATAACGCAGCGACGTTTAAGGGTAGCGGAGGAGGCCGGCGGCGCGAGCGCGGGATCCAACGTAAGAAGGACAGCGGCCGGCGGGGGAGGGAAAGCGAGTTCGGAGGGTAGGTAGGGGTGGCACGGGTCGTTGCCCGACTGGGTGAAGGGGGAAGGCCGGTAAATATCGACCCTCCCTTCACGGAGACTCTCTGTCTCCGTCCAGACATTCGTTTACCCCACGTTGCTCTTTTCCCCCCGCGACGCGGCTGGTCTTTTTCCTCTCTCGGTGGCTTGTAACCTCCTACCGAACGCCCACGTAGAGAGAGGAGAGTACTACTGCTCTCACACCACGAGATCTCCGTGCTACCTTTCCAAGGTCAACGGCTTGATGGCTCAAAGACCCCTGGAAACCAACTTCCATGGTCCACGATGTGTGCGTGCATCCTCCGTCTACTTTCCTCTCGATGCTCGCCACGCATCTGCGACAATCCCCTAGAAGCCAACGGGCATATGGGGAAACATATGCTTAAGGACTTTTAGAATTAGGCTGGAAGCAATGCGGGAAAGTCACTGGTATCTTCCAATGGCCAACGGTTCGTTGGACATTGGATGCACCGTTGGAAATCGAATTGCACGGTTAGCAATGGAAAATACAGAAAACCACCCCGATAGATCGGTTGTCTTTCGGTCCGAGCAATCGTCGGTGGGCCAACGTGAATTTCAATGATTCAGGGTAGTCCCCAAGGTTGTAATTATCAGTGAATCATGAGCCCGCGTCGGAAAAGTTTACGACCCTGCCTCGGTTTCCTTGAATTCTTTTAGTGGGCATGAGTCAGCGGCTATGTTTTCACCAGAGAACTTTGAACTACTGCGTCTTGTCTGGGACGAAACGTTTCAACCCAGACGACCGAAGGTTGCCGGCAGAGGTTACAGGTCTAACTCCTCTTCTCCCCCGTTTCTATGCTACGCCGAAGACGTTTCTTGTGCGTATTCGACACGTGGCCCACCCCTCGACTCCCCAAATCTTGGGTTTTTCTTCTGCCTAACCAGCCAGACGCCTCTCCCTCTCTCTCACTCTTTCTCTCACTCTTTCTCTCTCTCTTTCTCTCTCTCTGTTTCCCTCCCCTCCGTCACACCCTCTGCCACCTCCCCGATCTTCCCCTCCATGTCTTCTGCAGCTTCGACTCCACCCTACTCCCCCACCTCCACCCTCTTACTAGAAAATATGCGTCGGGATATACTCGCTTTCTGTGCATGTGGATACGGGCTAAACGGCCGGTGGAGACGAAACACATAAACGTGCTGCGTGCCTGGTAATTCTCCGGTCGAACGTTTCGCGAAAAGGACGCGGAGAAAAACGGATTTACGTGCTCGCAGTCACGAAGCTGGAAAAGCACGCGAACACACCCGTGCCTCCGACCGTTCCCTCTCCGGCCAGCGCCGGCAGTCATTCATGTCGTATTATTGTGCGTTCAGTCGGCCCTGTTTTTTCCCCACTTAACCTTAGTCTACCCTTAAAATGACTCTTCGCGCGGTCGGCCCCCGAAGCTCGTTCTTTTCCTCGGCGTTCCTTTCTTTGTCCAACGGCGAATATCACCCGAACAGACAGCCGCCTCGACGCTTATCGGACGTCCGATTATACGTCGGAACCGACGAGCATCGCTCGTTCGAGTCTCCCAATAACGAATCCGCCCGAAGGTTTCTTTCCAATTTGTACTTAAGGTACAGCTGCAGGCGTATCCGTACGTTAACGATTTTTTATTTATAATCGCCGTGTGCCCGATTTAAACAATCTCGCAGTATCCGGAACAGAAATAGCCATGAAAGTATAAGTTTACAACGCGAACGATTAACGGGGGGGATGCTAAGTATACGAACCCTCCTCGAAGTCGCGCGACGTGTCTCAAACGTTTCTCAGGCGAACTACGAAGTACTTAAGACCGAGAGGAGAAAAAGAGGAGAAAATGTAAACTGGGACATTCCATGTAGAAAGTAATTAGATTTTATTTCTGCCGTCTCACCGAGAACCTTAAACTTCGCGTGACACTGAACGTACAGTTTCTGCGCCGATGAGATTTTATTAGCGGGGCGGCATTAGGTGGTGCAGGTTCGATACCGTGCGAAATTAGGGGGTTGATGTGTGCTAGTGTCACAACGGGTTAATACGCTTAGCGCATGCTCCTTCCTCCGGATCGGGCGATCTTCGACTTCTGATCGCCTAAATTACAACATTTTGTTGCACTTCCTCCTCCTGAGATGTAGGTCACGCGTACCCCTTCTTGCACCTATCCTAGACAAGCGAATCTAGGCTGTGGGCAGTGCCGGGTGCATATAGGTATCGATCGTTGAACGGCGTTGCTGCAGTCTGGCCTGGTGCACCGGCGAAACTGGGTTACCCACCTAACCTATACACACGATTCCGCGGATCTTGCTCCTCCGTCTCGACGAAGCCGAGCAGCGCGACTCTCTCGTGTGTCTCTTGTAGCCCACGCGCGCTCGTGCATTTTCGCCCACACATGGCACATGTTCGTGCATCTCCGTGACTCCTCGCTCTTTTCTTGCTTTCTCAGTCGTCGTCCCCGCCGCCGCCGCCGCCGCCGCCGCCGCCGCCGCCTTCTTGATTGTCATTAAGAAACGCATACGACCCTCCCCTTCCCTGCCCACGCCCCATCCCTCGTCTCTCTCCGCGAAGATAATAGAAAAACGCCCGTCATTAGCAGTTGTATCGCCGTAATGATCATGAGATTGCTTCCGATTTGTTGGACCATGAATGCGACGAGCGAGCAAAATCATGACTACGCTCGCGTATACGTTTATTGATCAATCCGTCCGGGGAAAGTAATTCCAATAATTTCTTGTATGCTAGCTGAACGGTAATTACTGGGTTATTCGTTATTGTCGGTTGATCGGTGCGTTGAAATTCATGAATCGTTCGCCGGAATTCGACGCGGGCATTTTTTCTGAATTTCAGAATGGAATCGCAATGGCACTGCTTATCGCGATGACGTCGATACGAGCATGACTCTGGTAGCTACGAATTTCCTTGGGGTGGAATTGTTCGAAGTAAATCTGTACGTGGAAATGTCCCGATCGGTTCGGTTTCGTATTCGGGTCGTCGTGCGAACGTTTCGTCGTACGTAGCTGCTACGCCATTGTGCGTTCATTCACGTAAATCGCACTGGCGTCGAATTGGGGTGCAGTATCGTTCTACTCGAGCTCCGAGCGCGATCGTTAACAATTATATTTTCAGCGGGTCGTACGTTCGAAGAATTTATTGATCTAGCGCGCATTAAATTGTTTCCGGTAGAATTTAATTTTATTCAATCGAATTGTTCGCTCCACGGAAACGAAGTCGACGCGTTAATGGCGGAGCGTATTTGAAAAAATAGGTGTACGAATTTCGGTGGATGTTACAGTCGGGAAAATGTAACGCTTATTCAATTTAGCAGCTTATTTGATTTGCACTGTACTACGGAGTACAAACAAACGGGTGTGACATGCAGCGAGCAAGTTAAGATGAATCGACTATATGTGCGCATGCACAAGGCTGCACGTCACCTTACCCTCAAGTGTCGTGGGGCTGCGCCTACTGCATTCATGCGAGTTGAAGGGTCTGCCATGTCGACGTCCATTACGCATGCGCAGGGCTTTGCACTCTGTCCACTGGTCTGCGCACGCGGCTGTACCTTCGACTCGGTGTGGGTTTGGCGTTTGACTACTTTCCAGGACCGTATCGTAATACGCGTACTTAATATTTATAGTATTCCATTATGAAAATATTAATTGCAACAACGTTACTACATTTTCCACTACGTAGCTAGAACTACGCTCCGTTAACGTCCGTCTAAAATATAACGTTCGTTCGAGCAATAAAGAATTATTTCAACCACACGTGCAATAATGTCCATGGAAACATGAATTTAACGTAATTACGATTGAACGCAATTTTCCGTTACGATAAATACACTTCGAAGGTGTAATGTATGAGATAAGTAAAAGACTAACGGTACAACTACTCGATACGTTCAACAGTTTCTCGT